GAGAGAGAGAGAGAGAGAGAGAGAGAGAGATCAGATCAGATCGGATCTCTCTTTCTCTCTCTCTTTCTCTCTCTCTCCCACCAACATCAGCAAGCCACCATCACTCAAAATTCATATTAGTGGTCCGCGGGATTTAAAATTATGAGTTTGGTGGTCCCTGAGGTTGGTGACTCCTGGCCTAGCAAACCGCAAGTAGCTGCAGCTTCTGCCTAGCATCTTCACTATTGTATATTCTTCTTCACTTGCCCTGATGGAGAGATCCTCCTCGCCCAAAGCCACCATCACTTGGATGGGTGGCAATGTCAGGCTGGACTCATGGCTTTCTACAGTGGCTCTCATGGCATTCTGGAAGACAAAAGGAGAAAAAGAGAAATATGTAAGAATGGTCTAAATGAATATCCCAGTTCCAGTAAGACTTTCTATATACTTATTCTTTGAAATTATGAATTAGAAGCTGGAAGAGAAATCACTTGGATGAAGCCTGCAATACAGGCTGGAAATATGACAAGCATCTCAGAAAACCTTCTAGCCTCTGCTTAAATGCCTCCAGTAAATTCTAATCTCTCCTACAATAGTCTTTGGCCTGATACAGGCACCGAGACTGTGCTCTAGTTATAGCTTAGTGCTATGTATGAAGCTATCCTCTGCTTCATCGTCAAATAAATCTTGCTACCAGGAATCCTCTCTTAATGTGTAATCAATATCTATCTCTTGCAATTTCTCATTTTACTTCACTGGTTGCCTGTTGTTATTGTTACAATTGTTCAACAGAATTGAATATAAATACAACAGAATTATGAATACAATAGAATTGCATTCTAGAGCTTTTGGTACATCCAATCCTCAGTAAGCTAATTTCATGGTAATCTTTCATTTACTATTTCTCTCTTAACATTTTTATTTGTTTTTTTGCAAAATAGACAGTCACCCTGATTGTGCTGGATACTACATTTTGCTTTCCTAGGGATCATTGTTTCAAACATTAGAAGGAAGCTGATGGATGAAGCAGAATGTTGGCTTGGTTAATTAGGTCTTTGGCTTAATTAACTAGTTAACTATCCCATCTCAATATTCTACGGGCAATGGATGGAAACTTCCACAGAATTACTAGCCTGAGGCATCTGACAGAAGTTGCAAATGCCCAAATATAAAATATAACTTACAGAGGCTAATAAATGGTTATTTTCTATGTCTGCAGAAAATCTGTTGCTTAAGTATTATATTCATCTATAAATTACTATATTATAGCCAGCTTTTCTGGTTTGGTCAGCAAAAATACCATTTTATATGCACTATACATTGAGTTTTGTGGATATACACATACACCATCATATGTAACCATTAAAAAAAAACGTTCATAGCCTGGAGTTACATTAGTGAGGGTGTGATTAATCCATACAACTGGAACTCAGTAGGACTAGCTCTATGATCTTCCTGGAGTCCCTGAATTCCTGAGTCACTCCCCATTGGGCAATCTCAACGTAAAGACTGAAATTCTCCAAGGTGCTAGGATGATCCAATGTTGCATCTGAGATATAACGACACTAATTGGAGCAATATTTACACCACCTCCATAATTTTTGAACTCTAGTTATAGACCTGATTTCTGGCTTGAATAACAACATCAAAACATTCTGTGGAAACAGACTCTGATAATTACCTTAAACAGTTCAAAGAGCATGTGGTACAAGTGAGATGGAACGTAGACCATGTGGATGGGCTGGGTGGGTTGATTCGCTAGAAGCAGAACAAAGTTAATTAAGATGTTGTTTGATATCTGTTTCTGTTCCTTTTTTGCCATTCCAGAACACCCAAAACACCCATGCTCCCTGCTGCAATAATATATGTTAGGAATGTAGGTCACCTAACATTTATTTGGGTTGGAAATATATAGACCAGGCTAGACATTTTAATACTGTGTCTTTAAGAAAGTGCTAAAACTGTAATTGGGTGTGGTTCCACAAATGGCCATAAGATGGGAGCCAGAAACCTGGGTTGTTTAGTCTCAGTGAGTGTATGAGTCTCTGTTTCCTTCTGTTGGAAAGAGTTGCAGTTCCTGTATTGACTGTTATTCTTGGATTTGATGTAAGTCTGTTACTGAACTGTTTTTGATACTGGACTTTGATATTTGGATTATCCCTGGACTGGAAACTGATTGATTTAACTGTGAATGACTTGGACTGCTTATCTTGGACTGTGCTTAAATGTTTATTGGAAGTAAAAACTTACATTTACTGTACAGTGTACCTGTGTGCTGTGTGTGTATCATTCTTCACTATTCTCACCACGTCTCCCTATATGCGCTCATTCTCCTAACGGGGAATTACCTCAACACTGGTTATGGGCCCAGGCCATACCAGGCTCAGATAACTGAGAGTTGGTGTGAATGCACAGTACTGTATACAGACAGCTGTTTACTGTTTAATTGTGGGTTACTATCCTGGTAAAGATGGCACAAGACACTTCAACAAGTCTATCACTGATAACCTGGTTGGATGGAACAAACTATGTTTCCTGGTCTATGAAGTGCAGTCTACTTCTGCATAGAGAAGGGTTATGGACTGTAGTTCAAGATCCACTGGATGTAAATGCTTGGAATCCAGAAAATGAGGACAATGCCAAGAAGCTTGCTGACTTTAAACAGAACGAACAAGCTCTTTGTATAATTGGACTAACACTGAGTGACCAGCTAGTCCATATTCGTGGAGAAGAGTCTGCTGCTAAGTGTTGGGAGAATTTCAAGACGATTTATGTTCGTGACAGTGTAGATGCACACATACATCTTACATGTAAATTGTTTAGAGCACGTCTTCTGAAAGGTGGAGATATGTTAGCTCATTTGAACTTCATGAAAAGAATTTTTCAATAACTACATGAAAAGGAACTGATATTTTCAGAGCTGCATCAAATTTACATCATTCTTTCCTCATTGGATGAAAGTTATGATTACGTATATTCACTGGAATCCTGCCCAGAGATAAACTGACATTAACTGACATATCCGGAAGGTTGTTAGAAGAAGCAAGAAGACAACTGTATAGGGAACAACTGAGGAAGGAACAACCACAAGAAGATGATTTATCTTCAACTGCCTATACTGTTAGGAAATGTTTTTTTGTGGGGCTAGGGGACATATAGCTAGATTCTGTAAGAAAGGAAAAAGACAGAATACTGGTAATCACCAGAAGGCCAAGAAGAATGTTAGTTTAGCTATGTCTAGCAATTCAACTGTAAACCATGATTTGTGGGTTGTTGATTGTGGAGCATCGCAGTGCATTACTAAAGATAGAAAAAGGTTTGTAAAGATGTCCACGAGTAAGCAACATGTATCATTGGCAAATGGATGGAAGATGAAGGCTTCAGGTAAAGGTACTGCATATTATTCTTGTATAAACGAACATTTAACTATGTTATATGTACCTAAATTGAAATTTAATTTGTGATCAGTAAGGGCTTTAGTTAATATTGGTTATGTAGTAACCTTTAGGGGAGATAAATGTATAATAGAGAAAGAGGGTAAAAGTGTTACTGCTACTTTAGAGAATGATTTATATGTGATACATGATGACCAGTTGCAGATGGCTAACTCAGTTTATAACAATGTTAAGCCACATGATTATACATTTACTACATAGATGTCTGGGGCACATTAATTTCAAAATCCTCAAACAAACTGTTGAATTGTCAGAGGGAGTAAAATTGAAACCCTGTAGCAAGTATTTAAACTGTAATGCCTGTAGCCAGGAGAAAAGTAAGGTTACTCCAGCAAACAGAGTTAATGGATTAAAGACCAAAGAACCTTTAGAGGTTGTTTCTACTGACATAATTGGTCCTAAGAAACCTAGTTTAGGAGGTGCCTGCTATATTTTGAGTATAATGGACCATTACTCACGATATGGTTTCTACTATCTCATGAGAAACAAAACAGAAACATTCCAACATTTCTTTAACTGGCTAAGGTTTGCAGAGAGAAAAATGAAGAGTAAAGTAATTACTTTAGTTACTGATAATGGGACTGAGTTTGTTAACAAACTATTTCAAACTATGTTGAAATTGGCTGGTGTTGAGCATAAACGTTCTGTACCTTACAGGCCACAACATAACTCGTTTGTAGAATGAAGAGGGCAAACATTACAAGCCATGGCTCGCACTATGTTATCTGATTCAGGTTTGCCTGATACACTGTGGGGTGAGGCCATAATGTGTAGTAACCATGTGTTAAACAATGTAGTTAACACAACTGGTGAATTTCCAATCACTTGTTGGCATGGCAGAAAACCAAATTTAAATTATCTACACACATTTGGAGCTCCAGCATGGGTGCATATTCCCTCACAAGTAAGACTGAAAGGGCAACATAGAGCTAAGAAGTTATTTTTTGTAGGTTATGAGGCCAACCATAGATCGTTTAGATTCTGGGATCAAGGCAAAGCTCATGTTTATTGTAGTGCTGGTGCAAAATTTCTTGAGCATGTTGGGTGGGATAAACTGGAAAAGGAATCCAGCAATTATATTATTATTGACACCCAAATAGTCCCTAAAGATGAAATAGGTAAACCACGAATAGTCATTAAAGAGGAAGAACAGGCACAGGAGGAAGCAGTAGAACAGGCACAGGAAGAAGTAGAAAAACAGAAGCAGCTGGCACAGGAAAGTCCACCAGTAAGCCCTGTATTATCAAGACGTTTAACCTGAGTAACACGACCACCTGATAGATATCAGGCTAGTGTTGTATGCCAAGTGAATACAGTTCCAAATAACTATAATGAACTAAAACTGTATCCTGCTAAGGATCAGGCTGCTTGGCAGGAAGCAATGGATAAGGAACTGGAATCATTAAAAAAGTTGGAGGTATATGAAAATGTTAAGTTACCACCAGGTAAACATGCCATAGGATGTAAATGGATTTATAAACTAAAGACAGGTATAGATGGCACTGTTACCCATAAAGCCAGGTTAATAGCACAAGGGTTCAATCAGACAGCAAACGACTACAATGGGGTGTTTGCACCTAGTCTGAAGGCTGCTACCTTAAGAGCAGCATTAGTGTGGGCAGCTAAGGAGAAATACATTGTAAATCAATTAGATGTAGAGACGGCATATCTGCATGCACCGTTGCAACACACTATTTATTTAAAGAAACCTTTAGGTATTAAAAATGATAATACAACTGATTGCTGGAAATTAAAAAAAGTCTTTATGGTTCGAAGCAATCAGGATATGAGTGGAACCAATGTATAGTTAAAGAATTAACTAAGATAGGTTATGTAGCTGGCATGGCTGATACATGTTTGTTTAAAAGAGAAGGTAATGGTATAGTTTCATTGTTGCTATTGCTTACTGATGACATAACTGAAAAAGAACAATCAAAACTAAACAAGAAGCTACTAAAATAATCTCACTGTTAGAGAAGAAATTTAAGATAAAACAGTTAGGAGAAATCAAACAATATCTTGGATTAAAAATAGATAGAACTAGGGGAGGATACAAAATCTCACAGGCAGATAAAATTAACCAATTACTAAAAAGTTTTAAAATAGAACTTTGTAAGCCGGCTAAAATACCATTGAGTCAGGAGTTTAGCCATAGTGATGTTCAAAGTCCTATTTTTGATAAGAACATTTATCAGTCTTTGATTGGTAGTTTATCTTATCTCAGTAATTGGTCAAGGCCAGATATAGCATACAGTGTTAATTAGTGAGATTTAATGCTGAGCTGACTGAAAGGCACTGGCAAGCTGCTAAACGTGTGTTAGGATACCTGAAACAAACAATGCATTATGCCTAAAGATGAACTGAGTTTAACTGCATATGCTGATGCAAGTTTTGCTACAAACATACACGAAAATCTACATCGGGTACTGTAATATTATTAATAAAGGTGCTGATTGGATGGAGATCTATTAGACAGAAACATCTAAGTTTGTCAACAATGGAGGCTGAATTCTCATGCTTGTCTTTACTATGTACAGATTTAGTTTGTTATAAGCAACTACTAATTGACACGGGAATTGATGTAACAGATTCTATTGTTATTTATGAAGATAATCAATCAGCAATACAGATGGCTTCAAATATTGCTGTTAAGACAAGAACAAAACACACAGATTTAAGATATTTAAATGTGAGACAATGTGTGCAAAGTAAGATGATTAAGCTAGAATACTGTATGTCAGAAAACAAAATAGCAGATCATTTTACAAAGGCCCAAGGCTCTATAAAGCATAAGGCTTGCTGTGAAGATTATGGACTTAGAATGTAAGGTTGTATATATTGTCCTACCCAAAGGGGAGAATGTTAGGAATGTAGGTCACCTAACATTTATTTGGGTTGGAAATATATAGACCAGGATAGACATTTTAATACTGTATCTTTAAGAAAGTGCTAAAACTGTAATTGGGTGTGGTTCTGCAAATGGCCATAAGATGGAGCCAGAAACCTGGGTTGTTTAGTCTCAGTGAGTGTGTGAGTCTCTGTTTCCTTCTGTTGGAAAGAGTTGCTGTTCCTGTATTGACTGTTATTCTTGGATTTGATGTAAGTCTGTCACTGAACTGTTTTTGATACTGGACTTTGATATTTGGATTATCCCTGGACTGGAAACTGACTGATTTAACTGTGAATGACTTGGACTGCTTATCTTGGACTGTGCTTAAACGTTTATTGGAAATAAAAACTTACATTTACTATACAGTGTATCTGTGTGCTTTGTGTGTATCATTCTTCACTATTCCCACCACGTCTCCCTGTATGCGCTCATTCTCCTAACAGGGAATTACCTCAACAATATAGAAGATAATTTTTCAATAACAGGGTTCTTCCACACAAAGTTGAAGTTCATAATGAAATCAATATGACTAGAGGCACTGGTCATGACTGGTCCCATTACAAGTAATCCTCAACTTATGACCACAATTACACCCAGAATTTAGGTTGCGAAGTGCAATAGTTGTTAAGTGAATTTTGCCCCATTTTACAATTTTTCTTGCCACAGTTGTTAAATGAATCATTACAGTGATTTAGTTAGTTGTTAAGCAAATCTGGCTCCCTCACTGACTTTGATTGTCAGAAAGTCACAAAAGGTGGTCACATGACCCCAGGACACTGCAACCGTCATAAATATGACTCAAGTTGCCAAGCACCTGAATTTTGAACATGTGATCATGGATATGCTGCAAAGGTCATAAGTATGAAAGATGGTCATGTCACTTTTTTTCAGTGTCATTGTAAATTTGAATGGTCATTAAATAAACTGTTGTAAATCGACGACTACCTGTACTCCACAGTATCTTCATGCTAAAGTAAAGATGCCTCAGCCATATAACTAAGTGCAGAAAATCTCACAAGATGGGGAGCTTTCTCCAACTTCACTGGTCTCCTGTCTCCCCAGGCTTTTAAACTTCCCTTTTTGTTGGATTGTAAATTCTCAAATTTCTTTTGATCAAATCAATTATCAGCTTTACTTAACTTTCTGAAAAGTTTTAGCTGATTTATTTTAATCATCTTTCCAAACTCATTTAGCCTCAGATACTATACGCAACACTGCAATTTGACTTCCTGATACCATTAGGCTATTTCAGAACTTTCCTTGGATGATTTCAACATAAAGTTGACACATTTTGCCACCAAGTCAGGAATATTTATTTATCACATTTACCAAGTCCCCAGACACTGAGGCTATCATATTCAAGGTGCAAAAATCTGGACAACTCCTAGATGACAACAAAACAATACCAAAAAATCTAATGATTGATTGGGTAGCGATTGTCTTGATTTTTTGCAACTCGGATATAGTAAATGTACTCCATTTGATCTCTGTTCAGGATCATTTTCCAAGCAAAACTATACCTACGGAAGCCCAGTTCTAAAAACACTCTTCAGATCAGGCAGTTGGTGTAAAACAGAAAAAGAAATTCATATATACACATCTGCTGGTTTAGACCAGGGGACCATTCAGGCCAATGTGGGTATATGCGTGTGTGCATGTTTGTATTTTTCTTTCTGTTGAAGTACCAATTGGAGGTTATTGGGATTTTTATCTATACAAAGGTCAATGACTTATCTACTCCAACAGCCTGCTCTTGAAGCTATCCAACAATACATTCAGAAAGCCAGCAAGCAGATAAGTCATTGAGACAATAGCGAATCCTGATCCCGTGCTGTTCTCCAGGCAAAGATACCTAAGGCTATGATACCTCTGATGATGAAGGCTTCGTTTATCTATTTAACAATCACTGAAGCTATCGATAAATTTCACTTTCAGAAGCTGAACTAAGTTGTAGACTTAGAGAAAGATGGATTACATGACTTTCGTATCATTTATCTATAAAAAGAAGAAAGAGGTAGTGACTGATTGGAGAACAAAGTGGTAAGAATAAGCACCAAGCAAGGATCAAAATTAGGAGGCAAAGAGTAATGATGCACAGTCCTCAGCTAATTTTCTGTCTTTCAATAATTCGTATGCATGGATTTTGGAAGAAATGCTGGAATTTTACTACTACCCATGTGAAATTTGTTGATTAAAACCAGAAATAATTAATTGTGCTTTCTCAACCAGATATCTCCAGACAATAATTCCCAGCACTCAAAGAACTAGGTTAAAGTAACGTAAGAAAATGCCTGCTGATTTAAGTCAGGGAGACATTCAGCCCAGCATTCTGTGTCAGACCACGAGCTGCAGCCAGGAAGTTCACAAGCAGACAGAAGACAGAAGTCTCTTGCACTGCTGCTCCTATTTAAGATATGCTGCCTTGGATGAGATTCCAACACATTTGGAAGGTACAGATTACCTGCAATAATCCAACCTCATTTTATGTTCTCCTGTATCTCCCCTTATTGCAGTTTTGGATATCAATGAATTGTCCACACTGTTTCGCTGTTAAAAGGGCAGTCATTATTATTGATTTTAAAAAGCAAGGCAAAAAAAGAAAGAAGCCCAAAGAAAGGGAAAATGGGATTCTAGCAAAGCTTTAGTTGCCAACTCACAACAATAACTCTAGGGTAGCTGCTTATCAAAGGATCATCAGCTACTTACTATGCCACTTCTGAGGTCCTGTTCCACTGGCTAAAGAGAAGGGGGGAAATGGAGGAGGCTAGCAGTCCCGCTAAAACCCACTGTGTAAATTATAAGAAGCCACTGAGCAGCCAGTTTGGACAATAAGTCCTTCCCTCTCCCACTTGGCTTATTTGCTCTTCTTCTTATATTGCCCACTTCTCCCTTGGCTCTGCAAACTCACCATTCACCTCCTGGATCTCCAGATCAGGAGATGCCAAGTAGTACTTGTCACATAACAGTTTGGCCATGTCATAAGCGTCTGCAGCAAGAAAGAAACACAAAACTTTGGTTATTACGGAAACACAGCTTCTCTTCTTTGTTGAATTCCACAACCTGTCAGCTTTGTCATAAATTGGCAAAAATCAGCAAGAGCATCTAATTGATGAGTGGACTAAAAATTCTGTATTGCTTTCATGCAAATTATTGTAATTTGGACTAAATTAAGATAAATTTCAGCAAAAGCCAGGGAAGGAATATATTGCTTCCCCCAAATTTTCAGAGCTCTGCATTTTCTCCTCCTTTTTAACTCACATTTCCTTTTGAATTCTATTTTAGAACTACCTAATTCAACTAAGGCTATGAAAGAATAACCCAAATAGGTCAGAAGACTATTAGAAAATCTTCTCCCGTTTCTTTTGTGTAGTCCCCTTTTAACATTCCCAACAAAAATATTTTGGCCTTAAGTTCTAGTTGGATATTTGTAATTTCTTTTATCCAAATTCTATTTTTTTTCCAGTATTTTTTACTTTTTGGGCAAAGCCACCAAGTATGGAAGAAGGTACCCCTTGTTTGCTTACATTTCCAAAAATGAAATATTTAATATTTAATTCTCCATATAATTACAGCAGCAAGAATTGCATTGGCACAACGCTAGAAGGGTGACCAAATGCCAACAAATAATTTGGTTATTCAGAAAGTTCTTGACTGCACCGAAATAGACCTACTTACACAAAAACTTAGGGATAAGGAAGACTCAAGATATAGTACAGCTTGGGAAAAATGGTACATGTGGATCAAGGATAAAAAACCAGGGAATTAAAAGATAAGAATTTGAAAAATGAAGTGGTTAGATTAAGAGCATTTAACAAAAATAGGAAATGAATATTAGTAAAATTGTTTTCAATAAAAGATTACACCGTCTTAGTTGATCAGAAACATATACGTTTTTATGTTTATTTGTTATGTATTTGTATATTGATTTCATTTGTAACAAAATGTTGTATTGTACGTATTGTACATATTTTTCTTTTTAATCTTTAATAAAGTTTATTTTTAATTTTTAAAAAAGAAAATCTTCCCCCGTTTGTGCTAACCCCGTGCAATAACAAGAAATCCAGCTTCATCAGCTGTCCTTCCACAAATATGAACCATATTATATTCTTCACATATTTGTGTGATGTAAATGCTTGCAATCATTTTTGAACAGGGATTTGCACTTCCAAAAACAGCAAGGAAAAAGATAAAGTAATTTTAAAAAGCCTAAACTGGTATTTAAATTGTACTTTAAAAACTACAGTTGAGCCATTTGCCAGGCTTCAGCGACGACAGGGATTCGCGATTCCGCGCGATCCCTGCCGTGCTAGCTGTCTTGGTGCCTCCGATCCCGACAGACCTGGACGATAAGGCTGCCCTGTTGGGGTAGCCGAAGATAGGGGGGATCCGGACAGGGGTTGAGGGGAACCGCACACCCCCTCCCCAGCTGGCAAAACCCCCTTTTCTCAAGGCGGTGGAGCGGCGGTCTCTAATGGCCGCCACGAAGAAGCCGGCAACTGGCTTAAGAATGTGCAGGAGGAAGAAGGAGGAAATTACAAAGTGAAAGTTTCTTTTGGCTGGACCGGGACTCTAAGGATATATTTGATACCCTGAAAATTACTATTTTTGGATGTTACATTGTTCCCAGTGGAGGTTTCCTAAAGCGGCGAATGAAAGTGCTGAAAGGGAAAGTTACTCTCCCTCCCTTATGAATTAACAAATGGACACTGAAAAGCCAGTTTTCTTACAGAAGGTAAAAATTAAAAGATCTTTGTTACAGGTGGGAAGGGAGAGGTTTGGGGAAAAAGAAAAAATTATATTAAGACTTTGCTGGAGGAGATGCCTTGAAGACCAAGAGACTAGAAGCTAATTGCAATAAGACTTTAAAATACAGATTGGGTTTTTTTCCTAACTGATATTACCCCAGGAAGAGAAATTGTAAAGGGAAGAACTTTGTGCTTTACTTGGACTGTTTGATGACTTTGGGACTTTGGGGAATTGTTTTAAGTTTGGAAATATTTTGGTTGGTTTAATAAGAAGAAGGATAAAGAAAAAGAAAAAGAAAAGGTTTATAATGGCTTTATCTCTTGATGAACTAAGAAAACAATACGAAAAAACAAGGAAAGAAGGCAAGGACACTATGGGAGAAGCCCTCTGCTTTTTAGAAATGGCGCTTGCTACTTTTCAGCAAATTCAACAACAGCTGCAGGAAACGGAGGAAGAAGAAGCCATTTTTAATGAATCCGAAAGTTTGACCAAGAAAGAAAGGAGAAAGAGAGGAAGGAAAAGGAAGGACTTAAGACTTAAAAAAATGTCCATGAAAGAGAAAAATAAGATGCAAAATCAATATAATGTCAGAAAGCAAAAGGAAAGAAGAATACAACAGAGAGGGGAGGCTAAAAAAGCGAAGGTTAGGAGAGGAGTGGGTAAAAAGGTTAGGTGGGTTAAGAAAGAAAGGGAAAAGGGGGGAAAAAGCCACAAAGGTATAAAACAAGATGGGAAAAAGAAAAAAAATTTTAGGAACAAAGGGTAATGTATAATTTTAAAAAAAGGATTCTGCAAAGTACTTATGATAGTATTGTAGTAATTGTATTAAAAATAGGAAATTAGAATTTTACAAGATTTAATAAAAGATTAAAATATTAAAGTGTTTAATAATATTAAAATGTTTAATAATGATTGACTTTAAGTTTTAATAAAATATTAAAGGAAATGTTTAAAATATTTAGTTTAATTATAGAGTTTGATGGGCTAATGTGTTGATATTATTATAGATTTATTATTGCAGTATTTGTTTTTGAAATAGTAGAATGTACTAAGCAGAATCAGATGGGGATCCAGGTGCTATTTTAAATGTCAATCTAGGGGAATGATAGAAAGGCATCATACTCTGATCAGTGATTTCAGGAGAAATTTTTTTTATTATTATTGAGAATGAGATAAATGTTTAATTGGAAAAGAATGGACAAAAGATATAAATATATTGATGTAAAGCAAGATCAAATATATAAAATAGAATTAAGAAGAGTGAAAAGTGGGGAGGAGTTATATAGAAGATATAGAATGGTAAATAAGATAGGTAATGGCATACAAGAAGAGCATGAATTTAATTGAAGTCCATACAAAAAGAAGTAATCTGGGGCCAAGCTACTTTCTAAAAAGAAGCTTTATGTTTTTGTGTTTTGTGTGTGTATGTTCGATTGAGACTTAATAAAATCTTGGAGGAATGTTAGATGAGAATAATTGTAAACAAGTCAGAGGGAAATATAAATATGATGACTTAATAGTAGATAAATATAGAAAAGAAAGGTAATTGAATAAGAGTAAGGAGAAATAAAGAGAAATTTATCAAAAAGAATTTATGTGTTTATATGGAAATGGGGTAAATTAGAAGTATGCGATATAAAATAATGTTTTACCTGCCTTGTAAAGATTTATAATGGAAAGAGGTTTTATGTTTTTAATGTTTAATGATGTTTTGTTTGTTTTTAAAATTAATAAAATTTGTTTAAAAAAAAAAAACTACAGTTGAGCAGTAACTATTAGAAAGTTCTGGTGGCTGCATGGAAGACTTTGTAAAAACCATGTATGCCTTGGGTATAGGGTACTCCTCCAAGTTTCCACTGTAAGGTAAGCCCTAAGAAATTGCATCACAAATCTGTCTGTTTCAACTTCTGTTTCCAACACTGACTAATCTGATATTAAAATAATCTATTGTAGTAAACCTTTGCACCTGAAGGGCTCATTTTCTTAAATATTGCCTGGGTTACCTATTATATTAAACTATGTCTTGTTTAATCATGATTTATTGAATAAACTACAATTAGGTGCTTAGCACAACCTACTAACTTAAAACCAAAGTACTCATATTACGACCTACAAAGATAACAAATCCAGCCACTGCTTCTTCTGTGAATTTAGACAATTGCCTTTTCGAGACTTCTAAACCACACATCTTGTGTTTATCCCAGGTAGGGAACTCCTGCTTATACTCATCAGGTACCCTTCTTGTGGTTCCCTATTTTGGGGGTGAAGGTAAGTAAGGAGCAAAACAGATTTCTTAAGGATTCCAGAGGGGGAAAGAGAAGTTGCAGCAGGAATCACAGAAGAACACTCACCTCTAACTACATCTGATACATTGCAGTGGGGATCAATGCTGCCAATGTGCTTGGGATGGGCTGGATTGGTGCTACCATCAAAAATCAAGGCTGTGAAAAAAAAAGAAGACGCAGATGAAGGGAGGCGGGGCACGATATGACAAAAGTAGGCCAGGTGGAGCATCAGATGGGGCTGACTACCAAGATACAGCTCTAATTTAAGAATTTGTCCCTTAATACTAAAACCAAGAGAAAGGGAGAAGAAAAAAGGAAGAAAAAACGGATCTGAGGAGGTTAAGACAACTCACTGTGTTGGTTGAGCAGCATACGGATAGAAATCCGGCTAAGATAGAAACGATCGAGGAAGTACTGGATGTTTTGGTTGGAAACCGGGTCATCACCATAAGCTTCCCTATATTCAATTACACCCTGCGCCATCGTAGGGACCACATCATTGTGACGGTTGCGAATTGTGACCAGAGCATTGGTGAACCTAGAGTGAGACAGCAGCATTCCACATACACCTAATTTTCCATCTGTTTAAGTCCAAAAGATACACTTTGACTTCAGAATTATTGTAGAAATAAACCGAGGCTGGTTTCAGGCATGATCAATGTATTCCAAACAGTCTGAGATTTTCCAGGAATCTTGCACCTTCACTCCTCAAATTCCTAACCAATGAAGATCCTTTGGACTACAATTTGTGATTTTTATTAATAAGACACTTGGAACATGCCAGACTGGAAATGTTTCTCTCAGCTCAACCTAATTTCTTTCAGCATTGAAACTAAGAGTTCTAATGATGCATTTGTGTACATCTTACGAGGTCTCTAAATTCAAACTCACTGTCCCAATATCCTTTGGTCCTCTGGATCCTTGTCGAGGAACACCATGATATCCAGTAAACTCTGCACATACCTGGTGGAAGGAAGAAGGGAGGAGGAGGGAGGAAGAGGAGGGAGGGAAGGAGGGAGGGAGAGAGAGTCTTAGCAATAGCAATAGCACTTAGACTTATATACCACTTTACAGTGCTTTATAGCCCTAAGTGGTTTACAGAGTCAGCGTCTTGTCACCAACAATCTGGGTCCTCACTTTACCAACCTCGGAAGGATGGAAGGCTGAATCAACCTTTAGCCTGGTGAGATTCGAACTGCCAAATTGCAGGCAGGCAGGTCAGCAGAAGTAGCCTGCAGTACTGCATTTTAACCATTGCACCATGAGCAATAATGCACCACCACCATTATTTATTATTTATATACAAGAATGTTTTTTATTCTGATTCTGTTAGGGCGTAATCAGTAAGAGATAAGCAGTGCATCATTTAAAACAAAACTATTACATTGATTCACTTGTCCAAAGATAGTTTAGTAAAATACATGAGCACAAGGCCCTAAGACCTTTGTATCCGAGGTGGTATTCAGCAGGTTCTGACCAGTTCTGGAGAACTGGTAGCAGAAATTTTGAGTAGTTTGGAGAACCGGCAAATACCACCTCTGACTGATCCCAGCCCCATTTATTCTCTGCCTCCTGAGTCCCAGCTGATTGGCTGGATCTTCTTTTGTTGCCCTGCATGGGAGAACGGTGCTGGAAAACAGGTTAGTGGGGTGGGGAGGGAATGGGATTTTGCATTATCCTTCCCCCAGGAATGGGAAGGGAATGGGGATTTTAAAGTATCCTTCTCCTGTCATGCTTACCAAGCTATGCCCACCAAACCATGCCATGTCCACTAAGCTGCACCCACAGAACCGGTAGTAAAAAAATTTGAATCCCACCGCCGCCTTTGTGTCTTTGCCAAAATAAGACTTTTAGCATATTTCTACTTCTAAATATGGATGGTCATTGACTTACAATTATTCATTTAGTGACCATTTGAAATTACAATGGCACTGAAAAAAGTGGCTTATGACCGATCTTGGTCACATATTGCATCCAGTATCAGAGACAATATCAGTTGCTACAGAACATGAGTAGGAGGAACATGAGATTCTTATCAGCAGATTTGGGAAATCCAAGTTTGTAAAAATCCAAAACAGTGAGGGGTAAACAAACAAACAAACAAAAACCGTCAATCAGCAACTTTTTGTCACCTTGGTGGCTGCTATCTGCATGCTGACTTCTTATTAGAAATACCCACACATACATTGAAAGAAAACTAGGAAAGGTAAAAAATAAAATAGAATATCCTAGAAGAGGAGATCAGCCGGTGGAACCTGAAAAGGAGTATACAATAGATCTGCATTTTGTTACAAATCCTTTTTAATCATGAGAAGATATTGCAGATATAAGCTATGCACAGTACATTCCAATTCCGTTCCTCACAGTTGAAACTCTGCAGATAGAACATCAATATATCAGGGATATGCTAGATGGAATTTTAATGGCAAAATGCTTCAGTATTATATTATTTTCCTCTTGCAGTGGATTAGTCCATTATGCAAGCCCTATTTCTCCAACTGTGTAGATTCAATTTATTCACAATCTGTTCCTGGTTGAGGAGATTTCTTCCTTTTTGAAATCATCAGCATAAGCCAAGATAAAAGTTCATTTGTTATTTTTAAATTTCAAATATAGGCAGGGATCAGCCTTCCTTAAATCCTTTTGAAAGCAACATTAGATTTGGGTTTTCATTCTGCATCCTGGAAGCCTGTTTTTGTCTGCAGTTTGCAAACAATCCTCTTCTTTTCAGCTGGAATTTTCTCTGTAAATTTGTTCTTTGAGTTCCATATAGGAAAGCATGTATTAGTTGCCATGTCTGTAGCTGCTTCTATGCTTGAGAGAATTCTGACAGAAATATGTTGCACATGAAGGCTAAAGGTTTCTTTAAAGTCTTCTCAGTATTTCTGGGAATCCCTTTGACTGTATTTGTAATATTGGATTTTACTATGTGCCCTATGTTTGATCCTAAAAATCTATTTGTGTTTCTTGTATTAGATAGTTTCATGGTTGCTCAGTTCAAATCTATTGCTTTAGTCTCACATTAAAATAAATCATTTTTATTGCTGTACTTTAACCTTCTAGTGGATAAAGGTAAAGGTTCCCCTCACACATATGTGCTAGTTGTTTCCGGCTCTAGAGGATGGTGCTCATCTCCATTGCAAAGCCGAAGAGCCAGCACTATCCAAAGATGCCGGTCATGTGGCTGGCATGACTTAATGCCAAAGGCACACGGATTGCTGTTACCTTCCCGCCAAGGTGATGCCTATTTTTCTACTTGCATTTTTACATGCTTTCGAACTGCGAGGTTGGCAGAAGCTGGTCCAAGTAACGGGAGCTCACTCCATTATGCAGTGCTAGGGATTCGAACCTATTATTATTAGAACAAATTATAGTGGATAGATATGTGTTACATATCTAACTGTGATATCTTGTTCAACTCTACAATTCAGTTAGCTAGCACTGAAGATGTTACCTAGTTGGGTAATGAAACATCTGCAAGAAAACAAACAAGTTAAGAGAATACAAAGGACTCCACAGTTCAATCACGATCTACAAATATTCTCTTCTATTGATATAGTTTGGTTATTTTCTTTTATCTTTGGAAAGATAAGCATACACTTCGATCCAAAAATCCTAAGGTGATTTATTTATTTTGCTAAACTAGAGTTTATATTATTTTCATTCTGAAATGGATTAACCCGTTATGCAAGCCTCATTTCTCTTACTGAGCAGAATCAGTTTATTCACAATCTGTTCCTGGTTGAAGAGATTTCTTCCTTTTAAAAATCATAAGCCACGATAAAGGTTCATTTGTTTTTGTTTTTTTACATTTCAAGGGACCAGTGTTGCTTTCCTTAAATACTTTTTCTTTCCTGATTTATAAGGAATGCCTTTTGTGACTTTAACGTAGCTCATTTTGAAGGTAGTTAACTGCTGAAATTTTCTCATCAGGGCTATTGGCTAACATAGCTCTACATATGTGTAATGGGGAATTCCTTCCTCCCTTCTCATTTTGTTATAGTATAAAGAGCACAGATCTCTCATGAATAATCTAATTTTTCCTTAAATAATAAGACATCTGTACATATAAAAATTCTATTCCATTATCAGAATATAAAACCTGTGGTTTTCTTCCAAATTTATTTTTTTTAGGTAAGCCATACATTGTATGACTTTCTGACTATTTCATCCTAATTCCTTATCAAAAATAAACAGCAAAAGCACAATACTTTAGTCAAGAAAGAATATAAAGAGCTCATTTCCTCTATTTGACTTTAACAAGAAGAGAATAAAGGTCAGTGTGGATTTTCTCACCCACTCTTGTGCTGCTAATTGTGTCGCATTTCCATGCTTTCAGCACAGTTTGTACTCTGTGGTTCCTGACGACACTTATATAAATGCACAGAACAGTCCTGATTGGTATATTTGCATTTTGGAAATTTCGAATTTTACAAAGACTGCCTGTAAAAAAGTTTTAGCTACATTTCTGTTTTCTTTTTACATGTTATGCTTTTATCACTTCGTCTTACTACTTGTTATTATTTTTATAAATTCTGCAGGCTGTTGCTTACATGAGAAGTGGAATAGCATGACTGATTCACATGTATGTAACTAAATTCAAATAATGTAGCTGGTCCTCAATATGTCTTTAATGGCTATTCTTGTGCCATATTAAAAATGTGTATTGTGGTTCATCCTTTGAAGGAAGATACATTAGCATGTTATGGTTTTGATGCAAGAATTACCTATACAGTACTGGGAAACACCTGGGGGCTCAAGACTACAAGACCAATAATGATGAGCCACCATGCCTTTGGAGGATGGCTACTATGAGGAAGTCTTGCCATAGAATTGCAGGCTGCAAAAGATTAGCAACCAAAGCTTTCCCACAGGAAAATAAAAATCAGCTCAAAGTTGGGATCAAGGGTAACTCGGGTGAAATAAGAATTCACTTGAATTAACTAACTCTCAGTTCCTTATGTGCCTTACTTCTCTCTGGCACCTGCTTGTTCCCCTGACAACCGCAATGGGATGGAAAAGAACAAGGAAAGTCAGAGAGAAACAAACAAGCTCTCACATGTTACTTTCCCAAAGTAGGCCAAAGGTCATGCTGGCTTCTTAAAGGGCCACATTCTATTTCTTTTGCCTCCTCGATGCCTCCTCAATGCCAATGTAAAACTGCAGTAAGAGAGATTCATTCAAAACAAGAGTTTCTCTTAGCGAGGAAAAAATGAAGAGCGAGAGATGGTGTGTAGAGAAAGAGAAAGAAAAGGCCTTTAAGGCCTCCAACATCCTCTTCCCACTATTTATTTATAATCTTTTTCTAGAGCAGGAATGTCAAACTCAAGGCACTTAGATCTGGTGCACGGGGCCACCCTGGGATCAGCCCATAGTGCAAGCCTCCTGAAACCCTCTGCGGCCCTCTCGAGCTCCGTTTTTGCTTGCAGAGCGCTCAGGCCACCACAGGTGCCCCCAATATGAGTGACATTGAGCTGCCATGCCCACTGTGGCCTGAGATCAAACACAACCCTAATGCAGCCCTCAATGAAATCAAGTTTGACACCTAGAGATGCATCAGAGGTGCACCTATTGTTTCGCGTCAGGAGATGGTATCTTTTTTTTTAGCATTGATCATCAGCCATTGTTAACTGCATATTGTCTGGATGGGGCTGAAATTGGTAGAAGATGCTGGACAACCACAGCTAGAGCAATGGACACAAACATGGTGCCCCTAAGAAACTGAAATTTCCAGCTATTCTTGTTTATTATTGTTTTCCAAGAGGACCAGAGGATTTATGTAGGATCTATGAAACGGTGGCTCACTGATATATGAGATCTTTATGAACTTTGTTAATCTCAGCCAACAAATTTCCTTCAGCAATTCTGCTGAAGAAAAGTACTAACACTATGTATCTAAACAAAAAAACTCTGCAGCTTGAAGTTTATGAACAATATAGATTTGGGGAGAGAGAATTGGAAACTCCTCTGAAATTTTTCAAACATGTTGAGATCATTTTCACAAATGGGTTGTCCCAGGGAGGTTTGCTATTTCACAAAATGGCTATCATGGCCACTGTAATTAATCTCAAAATGACGAGGTTGTTCACTGTTAGACTTTCCTTACAAACCCAACTTATTTTCTTTGGGGAGAGGGAAGTGATAGATGAACTATTGGACAAAGCTCTGAACTGCAATTATACATAGTTTTCAGATAGCCATAAGACCCAGACAAATTCCAGTAAATTTAGTCAATGCTAATACTTGGTGTTTTCCTCTGAATAACGCCGGTTTTCAATTTAATCTTTTTTTCAAAATTAAAACTACCTAAAAATAAAAACAGGAGAACAGGTAACTTGTATTCCACTAAGTAAAATCTGTCCACCCGCATCATTTTACCTGTCCCTGCCTTACAGAGTTACAGGAATTTCTGGCTGTGTATGATGCAGAGGCCACTCGCAATTCCTTGTAAGTTGAAGGAACAAGGTGGGGCAACTATTGTGAGGAGAAAGGCTGAAGATGGGAAGTCCCTTCTTTATGTATTCTTTTTCTTTACTATAGTTTTAGTTTTCTTTCTTTTCTACAGTATTTCTAATTCACTTTTTTTCTGGATGTTTGATTCTCTCTTTTTATTCTACTTTTTTAGTTTATATTAGTTTTCACTATTGTAATTACAGTAATATATAATAAAACTACTATTAAAAAAAGAATCAGAAAAAAGGGTAGGAACCCACCAACTCTGCACCAGCTGAACAGAGGGAGTACTCAGTACACGGTCAGGAAGAAGGTTGATTTCTTTCATAATATTGGCCAGTCGGACAGGGAGCTCTTGGCGAAGGAATATGAAGGAGGTCTTCTCACAGGCATTGCTGGATCCTAAGCAAAAGAGAAACGAAAAGACACACCGAGCCACTAATGATTCTGCCTTATTCAGCAAATGTAACCCTTATTGAGATTTCAAAATGATTATACACTACTGTAATTTCCCATATGACGGTAATATGACGGTAATGATTCAAATGATAGCTTTCTGACATTTAGCATAATAACTGTAATAACTGGGTTATTACGATAGGTCCAAATAACTACAATTTGTTGCAACTTCTGAACATGTTTGGAGAACGAAATATCTTTTCACATTATCTTCATGCATCTGATATTTATGAACAAACTATGAGAAGACATGGCTGTAGAGAGTAACTTTAACAGCAGAACAAGATAGTTTTAAAAGATAAGGGGACTACACTGAGTTTCAAATATTATTTTTATTTATTAGATTATAACTTAATTTTTCTCCAAGAATTCAAGGCTTATATGAGGATTTCCCTTTATTTTATCTTCATTGTAACCATATGAGCAGCTTGAGTTGATTAATTTGTCCAAGATCATACAGTCAGATTTTGCAGCAGAGAATGGATTCTGTTGTTCCTCAACACATCAATCATTATAGCACATTAGTTCTTACACTGGCTTTCAAGAATGGAAATTTTAAATCTAAAGCACTTCCCTTTTATGGCTGTTACAAAGCCCATATATTTTCCATGCTTCACCAACAGCTTCATTACTGAGAATTTTAATATCTGACTTAAGTCATCTCCAAGGACAGAATTTCCATGAGATGTTTTCTCAATGTTATTCCTTTCTCCACCCCTATAGTCATAATTTGACAGTTAATACTAATGGAAAAGGGCCACATTTAGGCTATATGATTTCACAGTTAAAATTCAAAATTTCCAAGTGTGTAAGAGAAGAGAGCACACGTTTTCACTTTTGTAGTATGCAGCCAATATAAGAGAAGTACATTTTATCTTCATTTTTAAATAACTATTCCATTTGGAGTAATAATCACGGTTTGCTTTCAATGTAATATTTTAATTATGAAAGAGCTTTTATACAATTTTAAACAATATGTAGATGGTTTTCCTTTCTGTCCTTTATTTGCTCAAACAAATGTGTGAAATCAGGTAACAGTCTATTCAGGCCTGAGATTTCTTATGTTTAAGCCCTTCTAATCCAAACACTGGAAAAACAACATGGATGGTTAATCTCCAATTTCAATGCAAGCGAACTTTTTGTAAGGGAATAGAATAGCTTCCTGCTAGCTGGCATCTTTCCAAAAAGTTATTCTATTCCTCTCAAATTGCCTTAAGATGATGAAGCTCATAGTCCAGCATTTCTGGAGGATTCAAAAAGAAAATTTATCTGAGCAGGGATAAGGAGGCATATAGATTCAAGAACTAATCACTTGCAAATTTGAGTCCTGTAAGGACTCAAACATGAAAACAAGATTAATTTGCAAGCCAAACAAACCCAACCAAAGGACTTAAGCTTTTTTAAAAAAAATCAAAAGCAGGGGGAAATAATCCAGTTTAATCCCACAAAAAGTAAAAAAAAAAAACCCACAATATTATTTTCAAGAAGGCCTGAATTGTAGGAAGTGTTATGCCTTCTTTGTATAAACCAGGCTTTGACAACTTACTATTCTCCTTAATTATTGCATCAGAGCTCCTACCAGGCAGCAAAGCCACACTGGCTAAAGAAAAGACAAGATGTAGATCCAATCTTTCTAAAAGTTTGGGCTAGGCTGGTCTGTACGAACAACAAGGCACAGTACTGCACAATTACTTTTCAAACTAGCAGATAAGCAACCCATCTTGTTTTTTTGAATATTCCAATTTTATTAATCAAAAATACAAAAGAAAATAATAGGAAAATAAAGGAGGGAAAAGAGAAGGGCAAAGTGTAAGGCAAAGGGGAAAAAAAGAAAGAAAAGTATTGACTTCTCTCTCCTTTTTGTACAGTAGAATAAGATAATAACATCAAAAGTCAACTTTTTACTTTTATATAATATAAACTAGCCATTTTGTAACAACAAACCTATCTAATCTGCAAAAATCAAAGTTTCATTTTTTTTTCTATCTCAAGCACAAAATCTAGAAGTCTACTACTAGATTCAGTTTCTACTTCTAAGTAGAAACTGAGTTAATTGTGTTCTTTATTGACTGTTTCCTAATATGATTTGATTGCTTATTGTACCCTATGACTAACATTAAGTGTTGTACCTTAGGACTCTTGACGAATGTATCTTTTCTTTTATGTATACTGAGAGTATCTGCACCAAGACAAATTCCTTGTGTGTCCAATCACACTTGGCCAATAAAGAATTCTATTCTATTATTTAATCAGAGCAGTCGATTTGGCCATCTCTGCTAACTCCATCAACTTTTGCAGCCATTCATCCATTGTAGGAATATCTCCAAATCTAGAAACTCATCTTGTTTCAAAGAGACTATTCACTGAGCCAGCACAGAAATGCACACATATATATCAGCAGAGAATGACAACTAGACACAGGAAGACGTGATCAGCAACAGAACACGAATTGAGAGGTTTAGAATTGCAAAGGCAAATGAAACAAATGTGAGGCAACTGCTAAGTTCTCCCTACTAAGTTTCTATCTGACCCCTCTAATAAAGTCCAGAGAGATCCAATCCCTTTAAAAAATACATATGACATGCAACTGATAACTAGAAAAAAATGATAAGATAGGTAATGGAATATTGGGTGAAAGTTCACCCACTACATGTCCTTGCATAATTTCACCAATCAGATTCCATAAGTTCTTATTTAGCAACACTGCACATAAGAATTTCAAACACATTCACCACAGTTCAGATAAAGCAGTGCAGGAAAATCAAAGAAAATATAGCATGGGGGTGGAGTATTAGAGGAGGGCTTTAATCTCTCTGACACTGAGATCCTCCAATCAGCACTTGTTGTCCTTCAGATGCTTCAAAGGGCACTGCAAAACTCCCTCCACCCAACTTGGCAGCTGAGGCAGAATTTTATTGAGCAGAATTTTCCTTTGCTTCTCCCCTAAGTTCTATGCTCTCATTCTTCTCCCCTTCTATGCTCTCATTCCTTCAGGTTAAAACCCCTGCTTTTTGCCACTTAAAAACTGAAGGATCTTAACTGAAGTAAATTAAATTATGATATGAACAATTGCAGTATTTTGGTAATAGTTAACTGAGGAATTTAAGACTTTCTGAATAGAGACAACATATATGGACAGCACATTTGGAAAATGTTGAGAAATATTCTTAGCAAGAGTCACACTAGCTAGAAATATTAAAAGCTTAATTTCACACATCTATTAAAAATTCACACATCTATTAAAAATATTAAAAGCTTAATTTTACACATTAGAGTTCTCAGACAGTGTAATGGTTATGGTTCAATTATTACAATCCACCCTCAGGCATGGAAGTCACTAGGTGACTTTCAGCCATCGTTATCTCTCAGCTCAACCTACCTTCCAGGCTTGTTGTGGGGAAAAATAGAAGGAAAAAAATGGTATAAAATATGAATGGGAGGAGAGAGGGATATATACCGTAACTAATTCCCAGTTGCTCTGATCAACCAGTTAATGGGGGTTACCGAGAGCTGTAATTTAACAACATCTGGAGAACCACACATTCCCTTTCCTGATATATGCTTTTATTTCAAACTCTAGTGAATTCCTATAGAATTAAGCATTTATAGTAATAGAAGCAAAACCATTGGGTCTATAATCAACTATTCAGGAGTGTGAAGTTTAAGGCAACAACAATTCCTTAAACCACATAACCTTGCTATATAGAAATCCATTCCTCAAGATTATGCAATGGTACCTGCTAATTTAATTCAAACACTGCAAATAGTCTTCTACAAATCTCAGAATCATACCTATGGACTCCAAGGTTGAAGAGTCTGTAGTTTTCTGGAGGCTGTTAATTTATGACTCTCCCTAACCATTTCCTGTACTGGAAGCTAAAAGATGTCCCAGATTCTCTTTTTTTCCTACGTCATCTATTTTTTTCATCATTTTAACTGGAGATACCCAGAAGCAAACTTGGGGCCCTCTGTTTGCAACTTTTGTATGTAAACCAACTACCCATTAGGCATTTTTTTCCCAGTGGATAAGGAAAGAAACTGAGTAGAGAAGATATGTCATAGATAGATATGCCATGTCTCGGAAGTCAAATTGAGAAATCATTTGATATATTCACCCAGAGAAAGAGGTGAATTAAGGTCATCATACTATACAGCTAGTAATCTGAACACACAGCAGAAGCAGCATATTGATCCAGAAATGATTTATACAGGGGAAGTTGTCACTCTAAATAGCTTATGAGTATTTAAGCTTCACACCAAACTCCGCACATATGAACAAACTTATTTCATTTCATTATTGTTTGCTATCTCTTATTTCTATTGCTGTTCCTCCAAAGAACTACACAATCTATAGAAAAATTTCACTCATGCAATACTGCATTTCATTTCATAGAACAGGCTCTGCACTGTTAAATGTAATGCAACAACACAAACACATTTTTATGTTCATACATATTTGGCAGTCATACTACTCTATTCAGTGGGACTATCAGTGGGAAAATATGAACAGTATGATATAAGTACACAATTTTTAAAGTCACAGATATCTTTTCAGCTCAATCTTGATGAATAATACTTTGATCTTGATCAAAAAATTGGAGTTGGATGTTCAATCCACATGAACTAATAAAAGAGGCCACTGATTCCTCCTTTTGGTGAAAATTTGATAATGGTTAATTAATTTCCTGCTCAATTGTTCCATTTTAACTTCAGGTACAGTAAGCAACCACCAGCAATAATAAAAACACAACACAGCTACATCCTTGCACTAGCTTCTTTATAACATCAGTGAACTTCAAGGGATTTGGCACGAAAATGAACGAAGATGTACAGGATTGCAAGGAAAAGAGACTTTGAAAGTGACCTTAACTCTAAAACTCCCCAGAAGTCAATAACCTGTAAAATAAAAAGCAGGTGACCTAATACAAGGAGCAAAAGTCCTTCCAGATGGAAGGAAGCTGTTTCAAAAGGGAGACATCCAATCACCCCTCAAAGCAAAAAGATGTGCCGGGAATTTGGGAGCAGGTGTTCAATTAGGATTTCTGGCCTTGATGGTAAAGAGAAGCCCCCCCCCCCCCCACAATTTGGCCACTTTCAAAGACCCTGGATACCGTCCCAGCGCAGCACGAAACAGGCTATTGGTGTGCATGAGAGAGACAGAGAGAGAAGGGATGGGGGGGGGGTTGCACTCCACCTCCCAACTTCGCTGTGCAACGGCGGGTCCCCAGGGTATTCTGGTTGGAGAGAATGGGACTTGCAGTCTAGCCCATTCGAAGGTGACAGGTTCAAGAAACAGGCTGCCTCCTCCCCCTCTCCCTCTCCGGCTCGCACGCACCGAAGTCGAGGAATTGCTTCATGGAGAGCGGCGATGGAGAGAATTTGCTGAAGTGCTCGATATACTTGGGCGCCCCGGCCAGCGCCGACTGGCCCTTCATCAGGCATCGCAGAAGCCGCATCGTGGCACCACCGGGCCCTGACAGGCCACTTTCGGGGAGAAGACTAGCGGCGGTGACCCCTTTTCCCGGCTACCTGAAAGCCAACAGGCACCTCTGCTCTGACCGGATCCTTCCGACAACCAGCCCACAGACTGCTGAAAGAGGGGTAGACCTACACCCCGGGACGATCCGCCCCTCCGATAGCTGTCGGCCAATCAGCTGTAAAGACCTCGCGTTCCGACAGCTGCAGTCCAATCGCTGCAGAAAAACAAGACATTTTCAGCCAATGGGGAGAGAACATCACCACGTGGCAAGGGGCGGGCGGGGGGGGGTGCAAGTATCTCTGGGCTTTAGGGATGCGCCGTTTAACTTCTCCGTTCCCGCAGCTTGGCGATATTATAACTATAAATAGCTTCTCACCCTTGGTTTGTACGGAACGCTTCAAATACCACCGGCGTTTGTTTGAAAGATGCTCTATAAATCCAATTCTTAGTTTAAGATGTTACAAAACTCTTCCTATTATGGACTACACAGAGATGTAGCATTTTAAGAAGTAGTAGAGTCCTCTTTAACAGGACTTTGGCTCATATTTATGATGGTTGCAGTGTCCCAGAGTCATGTGGTCAACTTTTGTGACCTTCTGAAAAGTCAGTGGGGAAATCAGATTCACTTTACAACTTAACAACTGCTGTGATTCGCTTAACAACTATGACAAGAAAGTTCATAAACTGGGGCAAAGGTCACTTGTTTACCAACACCAATTTTGGGCTCAATTGTGGTCGTAGGTTGAGGACTACATGTGGCTACTCTTATATCTTTCCCTGCTTTTTAAAAACATGATTGTTCATTTGACCACAAATACCTGAATACAAACTGAACAAGCAGGAATTTAGATCCCATTTTTCTAATTCTAACTGAAGCAGAATGGTTGTGTATGTGCGCACTGTGTGTGTTACACTTTAATAGGTTCTCAACACAATTGACACTCAACATAACTTCATAAAAGAACCTGTTTCAAAAGAACAGATTGAAATTTTTAAAAAATCTCATTTATTCACATTTTAATGATCTAATTCAGATGCAGTAATATTACTACAGTACTATATTATTTTAGATCATATTGCTCAAAATTAAAAATAGCTGCAATTATTTAATATGATGTTTTTTAAAAGAACAATGGAGTATTCTGGAGGAAAGTTGAGCCTTTTCTTCTACCAATCCCCTTTTTATGTTTTTTTCTTTGTTTCCTGTGGCCCAAATACAATACCATTGCAGTTTCCTTCATTTAGTGTTCCAGTTTTACCAAGCATCTCTGGTATCAACATCCAAAATGATACAGTGGAAACTGTCTCTGTTCTCCATCTTTATTTTGGAAGTTTGCCTTCTCATGACACAACATGATTCTATTGGTGTAGTTGGGAAAAGAAGTCTGTAGAGATTCTCATTCATCCAGGTCTTGATTGTCCCAAAGGTGCTTATTCTGGAGGCAACTGGACTTCTTGTTTTTTTCTTTGAAGACATTTTTAAAAGAATGCAAAGGTCTACAAGGAATATAAATCTTTCCATTCCCCACTATCCTGTCAGAGCTGAAGAAGCTTCTTGGATGAGAAGTGAAACATCTTCAATGAAAAAAACAAGAAAGTCCAGCTGCCTCCTGAAAAAGCATCTTTGGGACAGTTTGGAGAAGAATTCAGATATTTCTGTCAAATGTAAGGTTAAGATTGTTGAGAGATGCTGCCTTATTTAATTATTGGATTATAACCCACTCTAAACAAAGCAATCATTTCCTATTAACATCATTCAACTCAGGAATAGTCAGACATTCTACAGGACTGGAACCCCAAGTAGGCAGATAATTTATTTGTGCATGAGATACAAAGCTTTCCACATTAAACTGACAAGAAAGAAATATAATCTTCAGTAGCTTTAGAATCCATGTAATTTATCAGGAAGTTACTTATTCAGTTACTGATATAGATACAATACTAATTGTGCTGGCATAGGAGGCAGGAGGAAGAGAACCAGCCCTGCCTCTAGTACAATTGTGGTATTGTCATGAAGGAATAGTGGGGTGTTGATCAGGTAGCACCTATCTAGAATATGTTCAATCAAGCACACCTTTTCCTGAGATCATAAGGCAGCTGTGGAAGTTACACTGCTGCTTCAAAGTGTTCCCTAAAAGGCTACATACATATCCATGTGCTCTCTTAATCACCTTTTGCCCTTCAAAATCCGGATTTCTGTACAGCACTATCAGATGTGAAATGAATCCAACAGATTGTTGATCCATTTCCAGACTTCATCCTTGATATTGGTTGATAGTGACAATTATCCAAAGCTGAAGTCTGGAGAATTTAATTCAGTGTACGTTAAAAATCAGAAAGGAAATGCAAATCACAAGTTAGAAATCATAATATTTTTTATTCATAAAATAGACACTCAAGCTTATTTACAATCAAGGCACAATGATTCAAGACCTCCAGTACCATAAACAGTGGGAAAATCCAGTAAACATCAAATATATATAGATTCATTTATTTATATATGAATGTATTTATGTACACATCACTAAAGATAAGTACATTCTTTGTAATTTAAAACATGCCTGGGAGATGGGAAGGAATGGGCAAATAAAATGTGACTATTGCCAGGAATGAATATGAATGAAACCAAATTTTCTTGACAATGACATGTGGAATAGAATCCAGAAAAAGTCAATGCCTTTTAAGGGAGTTTTTACACATCAAAATAAGCCCCAATTTTGGTAGTCTAGGTTCAATTTTGTTTAGTGCAGAGGTCAGCAGCCATCCTTGCTTCATGGAGATAAGATAAATTAAGGCAGTTTTCCAGCCCATTGCTTTCCAAATGCATTCAAGAGTTGCAGTCCAACACATCAAACACTAGAGTATTTTCTTAGAGCCTATATTAAAAAACAAGTCTGAAATGTTGGTCAGCATAATGGGTAATTAGATGTGAGCTAAAAGCAAGAATTTAAGGTACCACATTGATTTTTACTTCATTTTGCTGTTATAAAAATGCTCAACTCCAAAGGTAGTTTTATTTCTCTGAGCTGGCAAGTCCAATATTGTTTTTTATTAAACAGTGAATTGATGGATATTGCCCAAGTGAGAAAATCGAAGCATTTTTGGGCAAGATTAACTCTGCAGAAGTTGTTTCCCATAAATCCGTAGGTTTCTTATGTGAAGCATAAGACATTAATTTCTCCTCTTGATTCAACATGGTAGCCAGGGAACAGGAAGTGTGTAGGTGAAGCTTGTTCTCTCTTAGTTGACCCGCTAGCTTCAGCTGTTCTCATTTCACTACCCATTCCACTGCGTTTCTCTAAAAGTTGTTTAATATTGAAAAGGAGTTGCCTAGTTTTAAGACTCTGTTCACTTTCCTCGTTGACCCAATTCAGTTATGAGGGAAGCCATGCCTTACTTTCTTTATAATTAATTCACACTTCACCTAGGAATGCACAACTTCAGTAAACTGTAGCTGAAAATTTTGAAATCCTTTTAGCAAAAGAACAGCTGCCAACACCTGACCCACCTGGATATCATTTTAAAATTGCTCTTTAAAACCAAACCTAACATTTGGAGATGATGGGGTCAAGACACTATATAAACTCTCACTGACATAGCATTGTTGTTAAATGCTGTAAAAAGCATGGAGATCCTATCAAGGTTCACTGATGCAGGAAGATGCCCAATAAAGGATGCTATCCAGGGCCTCCTGTAGCTGGGAGCTAATCTTGTAATGAACTACTCCCTGGCATGTCTCAAACCCAGACAGTGATCAGTCATTAAAAATAATGTCTAAGTTAAAAAAAATTAAAATGCTACCCTTCTTATTTCAAGCTTTCTTAGTGTTCTTTTAAAAATAAGATAACAATAGTTCTAATAGTAGTGAAACCACCCTTCCTGCCAGAGAATTAAAAATAGAAGGACTAAATTGTAGCCAGTAATCCTGAGTCCAATGCAATCTCCAGTGCTGAAATATCCAGTACTTATTCTATAGGTAGGGTGGAAACTGATACTGGCCCAGAACTAAGCAGGCTTCAGCCACACTGTTAGATTCAAGAAAGGGTTTTTTAAAATAAAACCTTATTTCTAGGGGAGAGGGCAATACCACCTTGGCTAATTAGGACCTAAAAAGAAAGGTTAGGCCTGGGGAAATTGGTTCAAGATCCCATGGGAGCAATTGCAAACCCTATATATCCTGCAAGTTTTCCATGCCGGAGTCAGGAAATATGGCAATTGCAGTTATAGAAGGCAAAATTCATTCAACCTCCCCTCTAAATGAAGTATGGCAGAGTATGATTAGAGTTGTAGTCCAATATATCTGATTGGTGCCAGGTGATGGAAGGCTGAGGGGAAAAATGAGGCAAGCATTAACAAGGACCAAAAGAGAACATGGAGGTAACTACTACAACTGTCAGCAAATGAAAATGAGCAAATAAAAGTACTTCTCCATTTTTTTAAAGTATGACTGTATGCCTGCATTAGAAAAATAAAATACTTGTGAAAAGTGTACATAACCTTATACTAAGAAAGAATCTCCCAAAATACCTTGACCAGCTGCTCTTGGATAAGGACAGATGTTTAAAGAGAACTGTTCTAGCATAACACACGCAAGAAATTTGGTTTGTGGTTACTGAAAGAGGGTTCTGTGAAAACGGAAGGGCCTTCTGCAATAAAGCATCCCATAATTCATATTAAGATGATTTTGCAAGATTATCATATTGAGTAAATATATAGGCACATCTTGGGAGGAATTCTAACTCTACAATAAAGTATCTGCTGTGCATGAAGAGGGTTTTTTTAATCTAAAAAATTTAATCCTGAAAATCTTTGGACATGGGACAGACCTGCCCCAAACCCTGGAGAGTTGTTACCAGTCCTGAAGACTCTGTTAAGCTATATCACCCAAAGTTCCTTTACATTAAGACAGTATACATGTGTGAATTTGAGAGAGAAGCTGCGTGTTGGTTAAATCAAGGTACATCTTTTGGAAGCCCAGGGATTCACCTGAAGGCAGTTTCTGACACCTAAGATTAGACTTTATAAGCTGCTAAAATGGAAGGCTGTGTGGGAATCATACAGTTGCTCTGAGCTCATGAGAGGATTAGTCAGGAGTGGGGCTATATAATAAACA